CCCGGCATGTGCGGCAGCCGCCGGAGGAAGGGGCGGCCGCGTGGAAGGGCCCGAGGGGGGCGGGTGTGTGCGGAGGGAGCCTGCCCCGGGGACCGCGGGTTACCGGGAGGACGCTCCAGATGGTGGCAAAGCCCAGCTCCATGTGCTGAGGCTGAGGTCCGCAGCGCCATCGCATGTTCAGCTGGGACAGATGTTGGAGGGGGAGCAGGGTTGTTGCAGCGCCGTGCTCCTCTCGGCACGCCTTTTGCATCCCCAGTGTCCCCGTAGCTGTAGGCTTTGTGGCTCCGAACCTTAACCCTGATGGCCGCGTTGGGCTGATATCTCCAGCGACATCACTTGATCTGGAGGTTCCCAGCTTCAGCGAGAGCAGAAGCATTGCTTCCTCCGCACCTTGGCCATCTGGGCCTGCCACGCTGCTGCTGAGGAACTCCATCCAATCTCCTTGGGTTCGAAACGGTTCCCCCTTGTCCTGTCCCTACAGGTCTTGCTAAAGAGCCTCCCTCTTTGTCATAAACCCCCTTTGAATGTAAAAGTCAAATGAAAAAATGTTTACTGTTTCTGCCCAGATGATGTTACTTCAACATATTGCACTCTGTGACCAGTAATGATTTGTTCTATTGGTGGTCTATATAAAAAAAAAAAAAAATTATCATAGACAGCCTTGCTGTATCTAAAAGTAAAACTTAATTTCTTGCTGGCTAAAATTTGCTAATCATACTTTGAGCAAGCCAGGTTTTACTTAATGTTAGTAAAGTCTGCTATAATTTTTACCAGGCCTCTTGGCAGCTGAGTGATTAATAGCTTACATCTGTTATCTGTGTTTTTTAGGTGTGTGGTGGGTTGAGCTTGGCTGGATGTCAGGTGCTTGCCAAGGCACTCTATCACTCCCCTCTTCAGCAGGATGGAGTGAGGGGCAAGAAAATATGATGAAAAATTAAAAAAACCTTATGGGTTGAGATAAAGGCAGTGTACTTTTAAGGAAAAGTGAAGATCATGCACAAGCAAAAGGAAGAAACAAAAATTTTATTCTCTTATTTCCATCAGCTAGCAATGTCCACCACCTCCTGGGATGCAGGACTTCAGCACATGTAGTAGTTGCTTTTCCTCTTATATTTTTTATCTGGGCAGGCATCAGATATAGAATATACCTTTGGATAGTTTAGATCAGCTGTCCTGGCTATGTAGCCTTCCTCACTTCTTGCCTGCTCCCAGCCTTCTGGTAGGGGGGAAAGGTTGGGTTGCATTGATGCTGTGTGAGCACTGGTCAGCAGTAGCCAAAACACTGCTGTGATACCAGCACAAAACACAGCACTACGAGGATTGCTGAAGGGAAGATGAACTCCCACTCAGGCAGACCCAACACAAAAGTGTCAGCTCTTGCTCACATTGTTTATGTCTCTATTGAACAGGTTCTCCACAGGCAGGTAGAGCAAGAGCCTCACAATGTGTGGTATCTGGGCCCTGTTTGGGAGCGATGAATGCCTTTCTGTGCAGTGTCTAAGTGCCATGAAGATAGCACACAGAGGTCCTGATGCATTTCGTTTTGAGAACGTCAATGGTTTCACCAACTGTTGTTTTGGTTTCCACCGCCTGGCAGTTGTTGATCAGTTATATGGTATGCAGCCTATCCGGGTGAAGAAATTCCCATACCTGTGGCTGTGTTACAATGGAGAAATCTACAATTTCAAACAGGTAAGTGTTGTATACACAATGATTTTTAAAAAATCTTTTTTTTTTTTTTTTTTTTTTTTTCTATTTCAAGGCTAGTGGATATTCAGGGCATCTTTAAAATGTGTTGGACTGGAATACTGGAAAAAAAATGTGAAAGTTAGCAAAGAACTAGTATTTAAAAGGAGCTAAATTATTTCAATGAGCTGTGAATCTGGTAGCTTAATTTGCAACATACTTAATCTTTAATACTGGAAAAAATCACTTTTTGAATTTATGAGAAGGGCAATAAATATTTTCACCTTCAGGTTTGTTCAGTTTTCAGTTAAGACACATTCTTCATTATCTCATGGGGAGAGGAATTCCAAGCCTTTTTCTCCCCTTCTTCTCTCTTTGTAATACAAATGCTTTTAAGCTGTCTTGCTCTTCAATAGTTTTGGGTCATTATTCTCCCCAGTTGTTGGGTATTGCATTTTTATTATTGCATCTCAATCTAGATGGGATGTGTCACTTAAGATATAGTGATGCATAGTATGCATGCTTACATAGAAGCATGCATACTGTGCATCACTATAAGCATGCATTTTACATAAAAGCAATACGACTTAGGGAGGTATTTCCAGTATGCCACAGAAGTCCTTAGGTGTCTGCAGCAAAAGTCAGGTTTTTTGTAGGGTTTTTGAGAGCCACATAAGTCTCTTAGGCACAAAACAAGTAGCAACTCTTATTTAATTTCTAAGCTTCCTAAATGTCCCTGATGGATGTGATGCTGCTGCTAAATACTGTCAGTGCTCTCCAGTTCCTGTGCTGAGATGTCCAAGCTGACTGTTAGTGGCAAGATGATTCAGACCATCCAAATTTAATGTCTAAAGCAGCTTAAAACTGTGTCTGGTTCTGATTCTTTCTGAATGAATGTGTAAAATGTGTTACATACTAGGTGTGGTAGAATCAGAAACCTATGAATAATCTGAGATATTATAACATTTCTAACATCACATTTTTTTAAGTCAAGTCAGGCTGCTGCTAGTCACATCAGTGACATCAGTAATGTTACTGGGAATTTGACTAAATAGGCAGGAATTTTAATTTTTTTTCCCAGTCTTCAAGTATCTGTCTGTTTGAAGAGTGAGACTTTGTCCTGCAGTACATGTGAAATGTATTGTACCAACAGTCTGTATTACTTGAAGTGTTTTGCACTGTGGTTTTTCTGCTGTTGAAAGCAGTAGGAATTACTCTCATGCTACGCACAGTCCTGACGGGACCTTAATTGTGCAACACTTGCATTGCCATCTACAGGAATTTGTTGGGTTGTTGTCACTACATTATGTACCCTCTTTCTTTATAATGAGATTTTTCTTTCAAGCTTGTGGCTGAAACCTACCTAAGAAAGGATCATTGGCAAAACAGGTCCTCAGGGCAGTGACTTACTTATTTTAACATTGACTCAGTTTGATCTCAGGCTGCCCCATAAGTAACAATTAAAACCAAAGAACTTAAAATGTTAAAGCATTAGTTTAGTGGCTTTTTTTGGTGTGTCAGAGTTTTAGTGAAACCCCTACCTTTCCCTGTATGTATCAAAAGGACTTTTAAGAGTAGCACCAGAAGAACATGAAGAATATTTGGTCTGACTTAAGTCTGACAGCTAATTTCTTCCTCCCCCATTTTATATGCACAGGCAGAGTGAAAGGGCTAGTTTGAAGAAAGGAGGAAGATAAAGCAGAAGGAAATTCTATGCATAAAAAAAGCTGAGGAATTACAGCTACTGTATAAATAAACCAAAGATTATTTCCAAAGAACTTTACTCTGCAGAGATGTTGCACATGTCTATGTGTTTTGAGTTGTTTGGTGTTTATTTTACACAGTGTCTGGCTAATGCTTCTGAAGACCAGGGTCATGGCTTTGCAGTTTGACATCCTCAGATAGAAGTGTATCCCCGAAAACTTGCCTCAGCATGAATTGCTTAAGATTGCATTGTTAGTCTCATTGCCAAAGAGATGATCCTTTTTTTTATCCTAAAATTTTTGTAGTGGGTTGCCCCTGGCTGGATGCCAGGCAACCCACCCAAGCTTCCCTCCAACAAGTGGATAGGGGAGAGAAAGTACAACTAAAGTTTTATGAGCTAAGGACTGGGGGAGATCACTCACCAAATACTATCATGGGTAAAACAGACTGAACTTGGAGAAATTAAATTAAATTGAATTTATTACCAAAAAATCAGAGTGGGGTGATGAGAAGTAAAATAGGCCTTGAAAAAAGAAACCTTCCCTCTACCATTTCCTCCTTCCTGAGCTCTATCTTCTCCCCAGCAGGGAAACAGGAAATGGGGGTTATGGTCAGTTTATCATATGTTCCTGTCACTGTTGAAGGAGATTTCTTCCTCTGCTCCAGTGTGGGATCCCTCCCATGGGAGACAGTCCTCCACAGACTTCTCAAGCATGAGTGTGTCCCACAGCAGCAGTTCTCCACAGACTGCTCCAGAGTGGGTCAGACATCCACAGGGTGCTTTCCTTCAGGCACAGGCTGTTCCAGGTTGGGTCCCACACAGGGTGACAAGTCCTGTCAGGAGATCTGCTCCAGTATGGGTCCCTCACAGGATTCATGGCCTCCTCTCAGGCATCCACCTGCTCCAGTGTGAGCTCCTCCATGGGCTGTGGGTGGATCTCTGCATCCCCATGGTCCTTCAGAGGCTGTGGGACACAGCTGCTTCACCGTGGACTACACCATGGGCTGCAGGGCAATCCAGCTCAGGCACCTGGAGCTCCTGTCCTTCCTTCTCCACAGACCCTGGTGTCTGCAGGGCTGCTCCTCTCCACATATTCTCTCCCCACTCTTCTCTGGCTGCACTTACATCAGCACAATAACTTTTCTTAAATACGTTACCACAGAAGCATTACTGTCATTCCTGATTGACTCGGCCTTGGCCAGTGATGGGTCTACCCTGGAGGCGCCTGACTTTGTCAGATGTGGGGAAATCTTCTGGCAGCTTCTCACAGAGGCCACCCTTGTAATCCATTCACTGCTAAAGCCTGGCCACACAAGCCCATTACAGCTTTGAACACAAAAGTATTGTTTCCTTCTTGGGCAGAAATATTTATACAGCTTTTAAACTGTAATTTTATACTAGATTGTTCTTATGAAACAATTACTAAGCAGCCAATGTTTGCAAATGCTTATTTATGTTTTTCTTTATATTTTTTCTTAGCTGCAGAAGCAGTTTGGATTTGACTATCAAACATTAGTGGATGGTGAGGTTATCCTTCATTTGTACAATAGAGGAGGAATAGAACAAACAGCATCCATGCTAGATGGTGTATTTGCTTTCATCCTTCTGGACACTGCAAACAGAAAAGTGTTTCTGGCAAGAGATACCTATGGAGTCAGACCACTGTTTAAGGTGCTGACTGATGATGGATTTTTGGGTGTCTGTTCCGAGGCAAAAGGTAAAGCCAGCTGTGTTCAGTGCCTAAATAATCTTAGGTATTTCTGTTGGATACAAGTTTCTTTGTTGGGCTTTTCTTCTTAGTGTGAAGAGAAAATGAACTGTTAAGTTCAGTAATATATGAGCTGTATTTAGTAATATAAGAACTACATATCATTAAAATAAAAGCATCCAAGATGTTTGACTGTCTTTAATAACTCTAAAATAACTTGCTTATTTAACTAGAACTTTTTGTGTCCTGGAGTCATAGCAGTATTGAACTCAAGATGTTTTGTTAGGCCAAAGTTAAATATAGTCTATTGACCTATAATTTATTGTAAGTCTGTTCTATTAGACTTTGGTCTTGGTGTTATGTAGTGAACTAGGTAATTATACCACAGGAACTGATAATCTGTAAAAGGCAGGAGATTTGAAATGCTACTGAAATTTACTGCAGCATAGGGTAATTTCCCAGAATCACATATTTTATTTGATGATGATTTTTTCTTTGAGCTGACACTGCTCTCTCTTTTAAAGTAATTATCTCTAGTCTTGGCACTATCATAAACAAATCCAAACAGTGTCAAAAGGGTGTTTATTGCCTAAAATGCACTTTGGCTAAAATTGATTTTCATTATTATTTCTCTCCCATTTATTGTATATCTATTTTATTATCAGACTCCAGTGTAAGTTGACTCTTCTAGTAGTACTATGTAGTAATACTAATGGCTAGTAATACTAACCAGTAATACTAAGAGCTGCACCATTTCTGTTGCTTGTGAAGGAAGAAGGGAATTGAATGTTTTGGAGACTGTGTCCTATAACAATCACAGTGAATTACCAGTGTCCCTCTAACAGCAATTCAGTGTCCCTTTTGAGGATGTCCTCAAGGGGAATCCAGGTGACCAGCAGGTGCAAAACATCCTCTTTCACATGAGGAATGGAAATGAGGTTTGGCTACAAGTGTTACACCTGGCATTCAATAGCAGTAGAGTAGATCAGTCTGGAACTGATGAGTTTTGAAATCACTAAATATATGTCAATTAAGCAATCACTATCTGATGTCATTGTCACTATCTGTCACTATTACATGTTGTTTTATTGCAAACCCCTTATTAGCTTGACTACACTTAATTTTAAACACAGAATTAATTAATAACCGTCATTCAAATTCCCCTAAGCATATTGTACTTTGACCTGGCCTTAATATACTCAGTTAGAAAAACACTCTTCGTAGTGCTCACAGGGATAAACTGCTACTTGCCAATTAGTAGAACTTGCTGGTTTGCTTTCTCTGTTATCTGCCTCAGCTTGAGATGGCTCAGATCTATGAGTACATCCTTGCCAGAAGCAGAATCATGCTCTGGCCAGGACTGATGGTGACTGAAAAGGATAATTTTTAACAGCAGATTTAGGATCCGGAGAAAATATTTGTATATAGTTTGAGTAGAGAGGCTGTTGAAGTATAACTTAACCATTTTAAGTTAAAAACTCTGACTTTTTTTTTTTTCCCCATTTTATATGTAGGACTCATCAACTTAAAGCATTCAACATCCTTATGTTCTAAAGTGGAACCATTTCTTCCGGGTCATTATGAAGTGTTGGACTTAAAGCCCTCTGGCAAGGTTGCATCAGTGGAATTAGTAAAATTTCATAGCTGTAAAGATGAACCACTCCATGTTGCATGTGATACAGTGGAAGCTCTGCCTTCAGGTAGTACAACAAAGAGTTTGCTACTTTGATTTAAAAATGAAAAATTCATAATCTTTGAATGCAAAATTTGCATTGATTGGTTTAAAAAAGTACCATTTAAGAAAAAAAGCAACCTGTAAGAATCTTTAAAATGTAGGGACTTTAGAATTGTTTTTGTAGGTGGCCGTGTATAAAGATGGACTTGAGTGTCCTTGCTATCAAAAGAGATTCAGATGAATATCTTTGTTTCCTAATTAACATCATCCAGAGCCTAAGTAACACTTTTTGGACATTTTTTACCCTTCTCTTTTCCTTTTTTTCTGAGCAGGTTTTGACCTTGAAACAGTGAAAAGCAACATCCGTCTTCTCTTTGAGAATGCTGTTAGAAAACGTTTGATGGCTCACAGAAGGATTGGTTGTCTTCTGTCAGGTAAGCAGCAAGAGCCACAGTGATTCTTTACCTTCTCTCTTTTGCCCATCCTCTACTAGTTAAAGGAAAGTGTCTTGGTTGTTCTGCTGCAGTGTACCTGGAGTGATCTGAATCTTCATTTGCTTTTTAGAACAGGCAACAGAGAACTTCTTAGTTTGGAATAAAGTTTTCCAGTTTACAAGTATCTTGAAAGTCTTATGGTTTTAAAGGTTACTCTGGGCTGGGATTTTGGCTTTTTGAGACACTGAGCATTTTTAAATAAGACAAATAAATATAGTCTTGCTATTGAAAATCATTCAATGGATTCTTAAATACATGAAATTTATGCTTAGGTTGGTCTAAAAAGAAAATGTAATTATTACATTCACTTGGCTCAGATTGAACCTGGAAGAAAGCCTTGTTTCAGAAGCAGGAGAATTCTTACTTGCCACCTTTGATTTAGTCTCCATCTTAAACTTCCTTAATTTACCGTATTACAGGAGACCATCTGGACCAAAATTATTTGCTACACTCTTTTGCAGATAAGGTAACAGCTTGTGGTACAGCAAGTTGTTCACTCACTTAGCTGATCACTGTTGTGATCTGATGGTTCAGTGTTACAGAGGTACTTTACAGAGCTAAGGCTCTGAAATCATGCGTTTGGCACCTTATTTCTTGTGTTTGTGTGGCACTTGGTACTTGTTGTTAGAGTTCTGGAATGCTTCTCATGCATTCACTGAGCAACAGTAATTACACTCATTTGTCATGAACCCTATTAAATGTGCATCTGAATGAGAGAGAACTGACTGCTGAACCATTTCTTTACTATGCAATCATATAAAGTAGGAAGAAGGTAAATTAAATGGGAAGATAGATAGAGTTGGAAGATCTCAGTTTCAGTAAAAAAATTCAGTAAAAAAAACCAACCCAAATTTCAAATATCAAATTAGAAGGCAGTCAGCAGCTCCTCAGATGCACATGCAGGAAGTAGCAAAACTGAATGCCTGTGCTGGTATAAATAATACCAGAGTATCTCAGTGCTTCACAATTTTGAGTATGCTTGGAACATCACAGAAAATTGCTTTTGTTTCTCATCACAGAGGGAATTCTTCAATGTCACAGTGGAAACCTGGGGTTTTATTTTCCTGATTTTGCATCCCGAGCACTCAGTTTTCTGTGCTCTCCTTTTCTCAGAATTTGCATGTAATTTCAATGGGAAATATTTTTTTTACAAGATAGCATGTCCACAAAGGGGATCAAGGTGGGAACTGATGCTAATGCATTTAGCTGAAAAAACACATGGAAACTATAGGAAACAAAGAGAAGAGGGTTTTGCCTCATGCATGTCAGAACTGCAGGCAGACGTGGGCAAACAGGCACTGTGTTTTGCTCAGTACTTTGTAGGAGAGCAGCAAGTAGAACTAGCCAAGTATCAGCAGAACTATCTTGTGATAATAAGAAGGTGGATCCTTAGAGTACTTTTAGGCAGCTTGTGCATCTCTTGGTTTTATTTTCTGCTCTCTGTTCAAGTCCTTTCACTCTCCTCTAGAAAGAAGAGTAGGAAAAAAAAGAATGACTGAAGAAAAGTCAAGCCCTTACACTAAGCATTCTGGTTTTTTTACTTAATTCTGTTCTTTTAGTTACAGCAAACAAAAAGAAGACCCATAGTCCTATCAGTTGACTGTCAAATGGGTAGGTAAAAGGAATATAGGAAGTGGCTTTAAAATGGAGAATAAATCCCATTTTAGCAGAGTTGAGAAGGGGCATATTCTCTACTGGTGCAATGTGTTCAGTATACTTTCTGTTTATTTTAAATAAGGAGTTCCACTGATGCTTCTGACACCAGAAATACTAAAAACTGTTACTGAAGATGTTCCACTAAAGTTGCCTGATTCTTTTATTAAGCAGGGGTAAATGTGCATGTGTATGAGAAGTAACTTGTATTCACACAGCTTAAAAATGAAGCCCACTCACAGGATTCCAGTATCTAGATTCCTTAAAGGGGGAAGCAAAACATCATTCAAACACCTAATCAGGTAATTTGTTTTGTTGGCAGGGGGCTTAGATTCCAGCTTGGTTGCAGCTGTTCTTCTGAAACTGATGAAAGAAATCAACATCAATTATCCTTTACAAACCTTTGCAATTGGGATGGAGAACAGTCCTGACTTACTTGCTGCCAGAAAGGTATCTTAAACATTGCTTTCAGTTTGGTCTGAGCTACTGAATGCTAAACAGTGTATATTAATGGTGCTAACTTCAAGGTATGGCATTAATAGTAGCACTGAAAATTCATTTGTTGCTATGATGTAAATTAGTTTGTAGCAAATCATTTAGTACAACACTTGCTGCTTAATCTTACCAAAGAGGCAACTGGAACCTTGCCTGTTTTCACTTGCATTTGGGAGACTTTCATGACAGTCCCTTTACACCGTTGTCCAAAGGATAGTACTTTGGACTTCTCTGTTCTTCCTCTGGGTTTTTGGGTAGGTCACCATGTTATGGTTCCAGTACTTAGGCATTTGTCTATATGTAAAGTATTGTAAGTTAATTATCAATTTGCTGAATTAACAATTTTGTACAAGCTGTTTGGCATCTGGGGTACTATGCAGGCTTTCATGACTTCTATGCTGCTTTTTCTCTTAAGGGCAGGTATTTGGAATATTTAGAGCCTCTACAGATTCTGTTAATGTTTTAGGCAAGCAGCTGGATGATCTGTGGCAATCATGATTGAACACTGTAATTAAGGAGACTGTGTTCTCTCTGGTGAACATACCACTGCAAGTCAAAGGTCTGCTAAGTAATGTCTTTTCTTGGCCTAATGTCATAATTTTCATTGTAGTGGAAGACAGCTGGTGCTTTCACTGAATGTGCTTGCTTTAAACAGAATGTATGTTTATAAAATGTTTTAGTTGAAAAGTGATGCATTATTTTGACCTTTTGCAAACAGGTGGCAGCCCATATAGGCAGTGAACATCATGAAGTAATACTTAATACAGAAGAGGGAATTCAGGCAATAGAGGAGGTTATCTTCTCATTGGAAACCTACGACATAACAACAATAAGAGCTTCTATTGGTAAGATTTTTTTAATGGCTGTCTTTGGTTTATATCACCCAAATAAAATTTTATGCAAACTTACATGGTCATCTCCTAGATCCCTTTGCTGGCACAGAATCTGGGGATTGGGACTCCAAAGTTCTTCTGCCTAGACTTATCTGTGATACCACACTGAGGCAAAAGCAGTTATTTACAAGTCCCTGACTACACAAAGCAACTGTCAAGAACTGTTCTTGAAGCTTTGAGATGAAAAGCGATAGTTACATGAGGAAGAAATGTTTGATCTGCAGGTCTGTTCTTCTGCTCTAGTAACTGTGAACCTTGGAGGAAAGGGGAAATTCACAGGTTTTCTGAGGTGCTGAATATCATGACAGCAAATCACAGTTACCCTTTCCTTGCATAATTTTGATACTAATGTGAAGTATTTGTTATTGTCCTCTAGTAAATTAGGTTTAGTAACAGGTTCTTTTAATCTACACTTGATTCTGGGAAGTGGAGGAAGTCATCACCAGCTTGTAATGAAGCTCTGCCAGACTGATAAGAGGGAAAAACCCCTAATCCAATGGGACCTTTTGTGTCATGCAAGCTACAGCATTTTACCCAATTAATCTTGTGTTGTCGTAAAAGAGTTATGAAGCCAAATAAGCAACTCAGTTTTTGCAACTGATCTCTCTGGATGGAATTTCCTCCATGAAGATGAGATTTAGCAATATGAATTAATGAATGTGTTTCTTTAAAAATTATAGCATTTTACTAAAACTTTTTTCTGTCATTTTTTCTTTGTGATTTGCTGCTTAGTATAATAATGGAGTAGATATTTTTCTTTGGATTTGTAATACTTTTGTTATAAAAGCATCCCATTCAGAAAGATGCATTCAGTGGAAGGCATAGTTCTGTTTTATAAGTAGTTCTTTACAAAAAAAAAAATTGAACAAAGGGCTTCATCCAGTCCAACTCAGAGTGGTGGAAAGTTAAACAGCAGCTTTTGCTTTTCCCCAAGGCGAGAAGATTTCTTCAGCACTGTGCTGAAATTAATGTTGCACTTAATTTCAAATTGAGTCAGAACAACTCCTCTCTGTGTCCCTATGGCAATCCTCCAGTGTTCCCAGGATCACAAGTAGACACATCTTTCTGATATTTTGAGGGCCAAGTGTAAATACACAGTTTCGATGTATTTGCAGGACCAACTTAGTGTGGCTGTTGGTGGCTTTGAGTAACAATGGCATGGTCAATGTTACTTTGTCAGTTTTTTGCTGCAGAAAGAAGTAGTGTAGGAGACAAATTTCTAAAATGCTAAATTTTAAACTACTAGCTGTGTATAGCGTCGTGTATGTAGATGTACTTTAATAACTTTATACTTTTCTTTAAGGTATGTATCTTGTCTCCAAATATATCCGGAAGAAAACAGACAGTGTGGTCATTTTTTCAGGAGAGGGATCAGATGAGCTGACACAAGGATATATATATTTCCATAAGGTAAATATATTCACTATACAGAATTCCCTTGAGCTGCTTTCAACAGGACATCTATGATATTTCAAGGTGTGATATTTGAGAGTTATCATAACTGTATATTTGTTGAGTTTTTCTTCTGGAGTGGCATAAAATCCAAGGGATTTAATCACCTAAAAGATAGCTTTCTTCTTCAGCAGTTCCTGAGACTGTTATTTCTTGTATGTAGTTTTTTTCTGGTTTTAAGATTTGTTGGTGATGACTACAATTCAAATGCAGGACAGCCAGCAATGGTTTCCTCAGTGCAGCCATGTTCCACCTGTGTGCTCCATGCTATGTTTATTTTCAGGCCCCATCTCCAGAGGAAGCTGCAGAAGAGAGTGAGAGGCTTCTGAAGGAGCTCTACCTGTTTGATGTACTTCGTGCAGACAGAACTACTGCAGCACATGGGTAAAATATATTTTCTTGGATGCTGAGCACTCATAATTTAAAAGCAAAAGAAGATTAGGTAGGAAAAGACTTTTGAGGATTTGTATACCAACATGAAGTTGTAGCCTTAAGGAATTTGAGCAACAGTAAAGCACAGTGCCAAATTTAATCTGATCTGTGACTATAGGACCCACTGTATTGCCAGCAGAAATATTTTTTTGTCTAGGACTGTACTGATCTTTACAGAAGCAGTGAATTAGAAATAAAAATATTCAGAGGTAAGGAGAGAAGTTGTATTTGACTTTGGGGTCTTTGGAGGTTTAGACAAAGAGAAATCTTGAATCTGATGACCATCAGAACTAAAACAACATACTGAAAAAAGTATGTGCATTAGGTAGCTGACTGTAGCAAAGAGATATTAGGATACAATTGTATAACTGATGCCTTAAAGAATCTCCAAATTGAGGGCTGTAGACAATAGTATTGTTTTACTAAACAATAAAGAAGCATTTTATGTAAAAGAAATACATTAATTAAACCAAGAATAACATTGGAAAGCTATCTATAGGTAAGAAAAAATGGTGCCTTTGGCAAAGCAAACTTAATCTGTTGGGAAGTTTTTGTTGTATATTGAGCCTGCCACAAAATGACTTGCCCAGCTTTTTACAATTTTCTTAAGTTTCTCTTTACTAGTGCAGGAGACCTGCCATTTGCCTCATAATTTGTTTTCCTGCTGAAAATTTTCAACACACTTTCAAGGCTGTTTAATATCACATGCTGGCTGCTTTTGTTTTTCTTTGGACTGCTGCACAGCACTTTTAGGAAGAAAGAAGCCTTGTATTGATAAATTAGAACAGAATTTAATGAGTCCGGATTTATGGAGAAAATGGAGAAGAATGAAGAGTAGAGAGGAAACTACTATTATCAATTAGGAACAAGAGTTAATTGTAAGGAAAGACATGCAGTGCATATCTTGTTGGTGTGTGGGGAAACTGAGCCCTCAGTATTTGATTATCGAATACTTAGTATTGGGTTCAATTGTTGTTTTGTTTTTTTTCATAAGGTGGGTATTACCTGAAATGGCTGAAGCTTGTTATCAGAGTAGAAACAAAAGAGACAATGAAATTACTTGGATGCAGCATAACATCTTTCACTTGTGAAGCTGGACAGCATAATGTCTCTTGAGCAGACACAACTTAGAGGGGTTCTTTCTGCTGAAGATGTAGTTACTGTCATTTTATTCGTTGCCTTCTATGTCCTTAGAAGCTGTGGCATAAAAAAGCAGGAAGGCTTTGTGTATATATATATATATATATATATACACCACTGGTATAGGAGAGAACTTGTGTGAATACTGTAGTGCTCTTTTTTGTTGTTTCTTGAATACACAAACAAATGTGGATTTCAGAAATGACAGCAGAAGTCCTTGCTTGGTTCTATGATACATTTACAAATGCTGATGCAAATCCTAGTGGGTGACTTAGTAGTTCTCTGAGAAGGATTTTTTAAAATGTGCTTTTGCATACATGTTGCGATGGTTGTTGCAAATCCTAAAATTCAGGGCACTATAAACTGCCCAGCATATGGCATTATAAAACATTGTAGTCTTTTAATCTGTGTAGACTATACACCTACCTTTACAAATTGGTGAATTAAATTTAGGTAGCTGTAAATATGCAAGTGAAACTTCTTCCAAGTAAAAGCAGAAAACCTGGAGTTTATGTGAAAGACAGGAAAAGCTTAGCTGCTGTGGAATTTGTAAGTAGATGACTTGTTGGATTAATTCTGTATCTTTTCTGTTTATTCCTCCTACTTAGCCTTGAACTGAGAGTCCCATTTTTGGATCATCGGTTTACTTCTTATTATTTATCTCTGCCAGCAGAACTGCGAATCCCAAAGGTACATAAAACTGGGGTTGGATCCAAGCATAAATTACAAATTCACTGAGATGTGTTCTAAGCATGACCAGATTGCTGAATTTGATGGTTAAGTCCTCCACTCAAAGTCAAGCATGCTCTTAAATATTTTACTGAATTGTTGGGCTACTGGGAACCCTTTTCTGACCAAAACTTTTGAAAGGAAACTATTTCATAAGTGTTAAGTCCTTTTCTTTGCAGTGCAGTTCCTGAGACTCATGACATTGTTTTTTGTTCTGCAAACAGAATGGAATTGAGAAATACCTTTTAAGATTGTCCTTTGAAGATTCCAATTTACTTCCCAAAGAAATTCTCTGGAGACCCAAAGAAGCTTTCAGTGATGGTATAGCATCAGTAAAGAAATCCTGGTTTTCCATTCTTCAGGACTATATTGATCAACAGGTAGAATACCACTTTATCCTTTCTCACTTAGGTGTATTAGATATTGTTGCCAGTGGGAGGCAGCTCATATGCTTAGTTGAGAGAATAAATCTGGATATAACAATTAACTTGAGCTTCCCTATGGAGGAGTAAGCTGAACCTTAATCAGTGTTCTTCCAGATATCCAAGTTGGTTAAAGGCATTTGTGATCCTAGAAAAAAGACATGCTAGGCCCTGTCAGAAATGACTGTATAAGGAAATGAACATCATTTAAGTGTCTGGATTGCAAATTAGATTGTGTATCAACAAACACAATTTCTGGGTTACAGGCAAAGCAGCTGCTTCAGCTGAAGGCACTTGCATGAACTTACTCTGCAGCTGAGTAGCAACATAATGATTTTATAATGTACTTTCTTGTTTGCGTCATTCGTTTTTCAAAGCCATCCCTAGCTAAGCCTTTTTGCTTTTTAAAGCCTCTGCTTGAATTGTTAACCCATGAAGACCTACAATATTTTGACCCTGTACAAAGGATAATCCTCTCTGGAGTGCAGATGTAGTTTAACGATGGAGAGGAAGGAGTAACACCCTATTTACACCAGAGCTCTGTTACATGGAAATACATGTAGTCAAGCCTGTGGATGGGAGCTTGTCTATCCTACCACCAACTCTTTCTTCCCTGTTTTCTCTCTCTGTTTCCTCAGACAAGAAGGTAGTTGGGTCAGACAACAGTATTCTGCTGCTTATTCTGTGCCTGTACTGCTGTAGGAGCAGCAAATCTATTTCACAGACATGAAATGTTAAACAGCATGATGGCAGCAGAAGCTGCTCATTGCAATTGCCTCAACTGGTGCAACTATTTATCCTTCCTTTCTCAGCCAACTTAGCAACTGCAGGTGTCTTTGCCTCTGCATCCCAGGTCTTCAGTTGCTAAGAGCATGATTATTGGTGTTGATTATAACAGCCAGCTCTTCCCCAAGCTACAAAATCCACCTAGGAAGCCACTTACATGGCAAAACAGCTGCTTTAAGTTTTTACACTTGTTTCACAACAAAGGATGGTTAAGAAAGAAGTCTGTGATCTTACTAACAAAGGTGGTTGTGACCTAGAGAAATGGGCTTCACATGTCATGCAGAGAAATACCAACAGCACTGGAAATACATTTGCATATTCATAAAGATCAAGTGAGCCTGTGACAAAGGCTTGACCTGTCAAACCTGTGCCTCTGGAATAGGCTTTTTTTTTTCAAGACTGTGGGTGTTTAGTGGCTGGTGAATCCTTGTATGTCTTAAAAAGTTGAAGATATTTGCAGCTTAATTTGAGTTTTGCTTATGTCTGTAGGTTGATGACCTTTTATTGGAGAAGGCAGCGGAGAAATATCCTTTCAATCCTCCTAAAACAAAAGAAAGTTATTACTACCGCCAGATCTTTGAAAAGCACTACTCAGGGCGGAGCAGCTGGCTGCCCCACTACTGGATGCCAAGATGGGTTAAAGCTACTGATCCTTCTGCACGCACATTGAAACATTACAAGTCGGCTACCCAAGAATAGACTGTTCAATTAATCCCCAAACAAAAGTGCTGCAAACGTTTTGTGTGCACTCTGCTTTAAGAAAACCAAACAAATTATGCAAACCTAAAGCTTAAATTGTCTTTAAGATGTACTTTGACAATGCAATTGGAAATGAGAGCTTTCTGTTGTTAGTGTACTATTAAAAACTTATGCTGCTGTACCAAAACTTTGTAATTCATGGGAAAATACTTTCTGGACAAGGGACTACTTTATTTGACAGCTCTGTTCTTTATGTAACCTTGATTGTATTAATTTTCTTTGAAATCATTTCCTATGTTTTATGTGAGCTCTGTTTTAAGGACTTGAATCAGGCTGAGGGATGCAAACTACTGCTAACACTCTCAGCAAAGGGGAATTGGACTTCAGCTATCTGGTGATTTGTGTTCCTGGCTGAGGTACTTGGATAATATATATATTATTATATTCTGAATGTCCTTCTTACACATTCCTGAAAATCCTGAAAACCTTGGTCTAGTTTTCAAAAAGTATTTAGATATTCATAGCTATGCAGAGATGTTTTCTAGAATTTATTGAGATGGTGCTGGGAGTTAATTAAATGAATGGCAATCTTATTTGTTACTGTGAAGCCACCAGTTGGCTGTTCTGTAAATGTACCATCAGTGAAAAGACATTATGACTGTTATCAAAGAGCAGAATGGATAAGAGAAGCCAAGTTATGTCTTTGTTTCTAACTCAAGGACTTCAGTTTTTTATAAATGTATTTATTATTCTTGAAAAAATTGAGTGTTATTGGGTCAATTGGGTGATGTGTATCAGTCTGATGGAAATTGCATGAGTAAGTATTTTAAGAAATTTTTCATTTATTGTGAGAGTTTTCCCACCTGTATGATGAAAAGGTTGACTGTGTTGCTGCTGAGCTGTATGTGGCCACCTCTGTGGGTGAACCAAACCTGTTAACCATAGGTTGTAGATGGACAAAGCATCACTGACAACAATGGGACCAGATGCCTTGCTTGGAAAAAACGGGGGGAAAATGCTTCAGAAATCACAATCTAATAATCTACTGCAAAAATACCTGCATTTTTACCCAAGATAAGTAGTTGATAAAAAGTTATGTCATGGGGGTTATTTTTGTGATGGTAACTAAAGTATAAGGGTAGTCAAGAAATACATTTGTCTGCTGCAGATTGACTTGATTAGCATCATGCTCTTTATGAAAATAAGTCTTCTTTATTGTCCCTCTTGACTAGGAAACCAAAGCCATTTTTATTTGAAAGATTAAATATAAATTGTTCTGATTTAAAACCTTCACAAAGTGACTAGCTGTCTGTTTGTTGCTCCACCCTAAATCCTGCATTTGAGTCTGTATCCAGAAACTTTCCTGAAACCTTTTGGTGGTACCACAGCACTGGTGAGCTGTTTGTAATATGTTCCTGTAGCCTTCTTTACTTAAGGGCCATGTGCTTGTCTTTTTGAATTTCTTTGAAACAATTAAGAATATTTTGAGTTGGGAGAGGAGTGTAGAGTATGTGGTTAAGTACTGATGTGTACAGGTAAGATTTACTACTCACTGTAAACTTCCAGGTCTCTTATAAGAAAACAGTATTTCCCTGAAGTGAAAATATGCTAAACATATTTTGGGATCACTGCTCAAATGCACTTTCTGCTGCAACATTGCAGCATTCAAGGAAATCCAGCTAATTTTTTAAAAATTCCTAGTACATTGGAGATTTATATATCAGGGCAATAATCTAGACTGACGATTTAGTTCTTTCAGCTTTTTACTAATGTGCACAGGAAGAATACAGTGCTTGCTGCCTTGTAAAAGGTCTTGTGAGTGTAAAACCTGTTCATTCTTTTTCCATGTATGGAATTCTACAGCCTTTTTGGTTTCTTTGTTGCTATATTGATGGATTTTTTTCCTTTTAAAATAAAAATTGAGGCAGAAAAAGACAAAACAAAAAAATAAATAAGACAAAAGCATCCAGCTACTCTGAAAGATTTGCTAGCTGCAGCCCTGTTTGTAGTTTGTCACAGGAGGGAACAGGATGCAGAGCCAGAGTGCAATGCTGTCTTGCTAGTTTTATTCTAGCTTTTTTCCTGCTGTGGTGGCCTCTTCTTCTCACTGTTTCTTTTGGATAAAATTAATCTGGATGGTTCTGACAGCTTGAGTATATTGGTTTGAGTGTTGTTTCAGGTGGGCATGGGGAGTTGAAGTCGATGGTCCACATGGGGAAGGCAGAGATAAGTATTTGCTTGGCTTGCAGGATGAGGGCTGAGGGAGAACCTGTAGAGTTCTTGCAAAGAACTAAAATGGCTAAAAAATGTAGGGTTTTGTAAAATTGGTTTGGTGTGGGTTTGTTTGATTTTGTTTTAATGTGAATCAATTAAGTTAGTAAATTTTGTTTTCACAGAAATCTTTCCTCCTTTTGGGGAATGAGAAACTTAACATTTGCAAAGAGAGCACTGCAGGGTATGAGACCTACCAGGTGCTTAAGGTTGCCCAGTGCCACCCATGCCCTTCATCTTTTTAATAAAGCCTATGTGCTGTTTTAGCCTCCTGTTGGTTACTGGTGTGGAGCCACCCTGACTGTGGCTCTCTAGAGAAGTTCCCAGTACAAACCAGCATGTAAGAGCCAGAGAGCACTTGGCAGGACTTCAGGAGCCCTTAGTCCATTGGTCAGAGTTTTTTATGTAGGACGGTTTGAAATGATGTAAAATTTTTGAAACTGTTTAAAATCACAGTAAAGTGTGAAAACAGCCTATTGTAGAGTCTTTGGAGGGGTGGAGTTATTTTTTTCTGATAGAGTGCTAATTTTTTCATTCCCATTGGCAGAAGAAGGAGTGGAAGGAGGATTTGATACAAGATAAGCCTGTGTTTGAGCTGGCTATTGAATATTGTCTCAAAGGAGAGAGCAGCTGAATTGTGGGAGAGGCTGCTTATTTCTGTAACAAGTTACACTGTGTGTTCCTCAGTGCCCTTCCATGGGACAGCAAAAACACATGCACCACCTGCACCATGCCTGTGTCAGCTCCTCATTTGAACTTTGGATCCTATTGCTTTTAATTTATGTATTTACATAGACATTGTGGTTGACGGAAAGGCTGCAGTCAGGAAAATCTCAGCCTGTCTCTGGATGCAGGTAATGCACAGAAATGTAATTGTATTTTTATTTTAATTTAATAATTTCAAATTATTTTCATTTAAGAGGGTAATTTAATTTTTTTATTTACCACGTTTGTTCCCAGAAGAGGGACAAAGAAGAATGAAGCAGAGAGGTGGTCTTTGCTGCTCTGCTTCTCTGCAAGTTGGTGGGAGTAGTAGCTAGGGGAGGTGGTGCATTAACAGCTGCTTTCTAAGACCTGTTGGTGGTATTTTACCCACCCCTCTCTGGAGTGCCACCCTCCATCTTTTTGTTGCCTGGAAACTCTTTCAACAAGAGAAAACTAGCTGGGCAAGCGGTTTTTTCCAGCACTATGCTCAGGTTTGGATCTTCCAGTCATCTGATGTGGTACAACAAAAGATGCTGACTGCTCCGGAGTCCACCCGACTTTGTGTTTCTCCCATGCAAGCGAGTCGGGGCTGACTCCTCCCCTTGTTCTGTGTCCTGGGAAGCCAACGGGCAGCCACCTTTTCCCCAGCATGACACAAAGAGTGTCAAAATTTACATTCGGATCGGGAAGTTTCTTCCGGGATGATTTCCTAATTCTTTTAAAGAAATGTATTTTTCCAGCCGGTAGATGGCAGCCGCTAGTTAAGCGCGTCCGTGCAAACGAGCTCCTCATCCCTGGGGAAGGTGCTCTCCATCCTGCTCTCCTTCCTGCTCTCTTTCTGCTTTTAATATCTTTCTTCACAAACGACTGTCACTGGGATTTGTGCGTGAGCCTCGTGGAATTTAATAAGTACTTGATTAGAATAAGAATAAAGCCAGGCATAAAATAAAATGCTTTCAAATTGATCTTGCTCAAAAGATGTTGTGCAGAGCTTCTCATGCTGGTGCTGCAGGTAAAGCAGCAGCTAAGAGTTGAATTGTATTAGTATTGAAGGCATTCAATATTCAATTTAGAGATAATTCAAAACAAGTTATATTAAAAATCAGTAATGTGAGATGCAATACGTATAAAATGTCAGTTCTGGGGAAGATGGCAGACAATTCCAGACTAGGGAATAAACAATGTTAATTTTACCTCTGAAGTTGTTAAGGTTTTTTGTTTTTCCTTTTTCCTTCGTGATTAGTGTAGGGGTCACAGGATTTAATATAGTCATGCAAAGAGAACATTAAGCTAGAATCACAGAAAAATTTGGGCTTGAAGGGACCTTAGAGATCATCCAAGTTCCAACCTCCCTGCCATTGGCAGGGATACCTTTCAGTAGACCAGATTGCTCAAAGTCCCATCCAACCTGGCCTTGAACACTTCCAGGAATGGGACATCCACAACTTCTCTGGACAGCCTGTTCCAGTGTCTCACCATCCTCACAGTAAAGAATTTCTTACTTGTATCTAATATAAATCTACTCTATTTCAGTTTAAAGCCATTCCCCTTGTTCTATCACTAAATATCATGAAAAACATCCCTCTCCAGCTTTCTTGCAGGCTGCCCTTGGGTACTGGAAGGTGCTGTAAGCTCTTCTCTTTTCCAGGCTGAACAGCCCCAACACTCTCTGTCTTCATGGAGTGGTGCTCCTGCCCTCTGATCATCTTCATGGCATCCTCTAGGCTTGCTCCAACTGCCCCACATCCTTCCTATGCTGAGGGCCCCAGAGCTGGATGCAGCAGTCCAGGCAGGGTTTCACCCAGAGGCAGAATCCCCTCCGTGTTCTGCTGGCCACACTGCTTTTGTTGCAGCCCAGGAAAGCATCAACTTTCTGGGCTCTGAGCACACACTGTCTGCTCATGCTTGTCCACCAGTGCCCCAGGTGCTTTCCCTAGGGGCTGCTCTCAATCCATCCATCCTCCACCCAGCCTGTGTTCACGTTTGGGATTGCTCTGACCCAGGTGTGAGGCCTTGCCCTTGCCTGGTTGTACTTCATGAGCCCACCTCTCAAGGGTAAGTTTTCCAGGTGCACATCAGAAAGGCTTAGGTACTTGTTTTTTTCAAAAGTATTATTTTAAAAGTACAAATGCATTGTGTACACCTGAGCATCTAGACTTTAGCCCTGTCAGGAAAAAACATCCCCCAGTGACCACTGGTGGTGTAATGGCAATGTGGAAACACACACAGCTTTTTTTCTGCTCCAGACATGTTCTCATGTTCTGAGAGAGGTCTTCTGACTTTTTTTTTTTTTTTTTTTTTTTTTTTTTTTTTTTTGTGGTACTGGGTGCTTAATTGATGAATTTTCACCAAGAAGAACATAGGGTAATTGAGTCCAAAATAGTGCTTTAGAAAATTATAGGTACTTAAAATTATTTGAACTAACCTCAATTCCTAAACCATAATAATCTTGCAGAGACAAAGATGAGAGTCAGATTATTCTGGCTGCAAAAGCTGCCTCCATTTTTTTGCTACTATCAAGGATAGGAGTAATTGTCTATATTAATAAACTGTATTACTTAACATCTCTCACCACTGCTCTTGAAGACTGCCTTTAACACCTGGGGCAAAATGTATATTAATACAAATTACTTTTGATTAAAACCATTATTATTTTAGCACAAAAAAGAAGGGGGTGGTAGAAAGGAACATTCTCTTTTAAATATTTAAATACTCATTATGCCAAGGTGATACAAATTACTGGCTGACTGACAACTTGCTAATAATAGCTTAAAAATGCAAATAGAGCTATTATCCCAATTGACACTAATTGGAACTCCTTTGGCAGCCTGGGGAGGGCAGGACAGGAAGGTTTGATTGTTTCCTCAGGCTGGAATTGGGCTGGTAAGGAAGTGTGGGGAAGATGTGCTGTGGATAAACAGGTTTCCATCTGCAGACATCAGAATTCATCATGCTGCATTTCAAGAAACTGCTCAGAAGTGCTGCCTTGTGCCTGTGTAACAAATTTGGTGAGGTTTGTGGTGCACTGACACCCACACAGTGCAGGGTTTGGCAGGGCTGAGTTAGCGCTGTGGGAATCCAAGCTGTAAATGCTGAAGTCACCCAAACCAGCTGTGATGTCTTCTGGGTATTGTGGAAATTCACTGTTATAGAATTCACTGAACTATAATTTTTATTTTTTTTTAAATGCAGTCTTTGAATAACTACACCTTATGTATGTATTCTTTCATTAATTATTGTGTATCTTCTCCAAGCAAGGTTTGCTTCCAGAGCATGTTGCTTGAATTTTAATGCTTTGGTACACAGAAACACAATGT